ATTTTTAAGATCCAATACCAAATCTGGAGACAAAGTTTCATCATTAGAAAAGCCGCTTGCAAAAAATGCCTAATTGTTCAGTTTTGGTACCTTTTTATTGCTGGCGAAAGATTCCAGCCTCATCATTAGTTTAGAAAAGGAATTCAGCTCTTAATAATGAAGAGCATTTTGTAGAGCTTGAAATTCTACATCTTTTGATATAAAAAGAGTAGTTTTTGTAAAACCGAGTTCGGAGAAAATTGGCAACGAACAGTACAATTCTGTTAACCCAAGGTATTTTCTTAATATTTTGTGGTTTTTGAAGCAGAAACAATTAAGCTTAAAAAAATAAAGACACCACTAGATACATCGAAAAATTCGGCATCGATTAGTAACAAGAAGAAATTTTTGAACTATAATTAACCGAGAAAAAATTTTAGTTTAAAAGTGTCTCATTTTGCAGTTGAGCAAATGCTGTTTTTGTGGTATCGAATACCTTTAATGCTACAAGAGAAGGACAAATACTTATTTCGCAAAGAACATATCAATAAAATCTACACAAAAAATTCTCTATCTTTTGACATCAGAACGAAACTTTCTCATCCAGTCTAACTTGAGAAAACGGCCTATCAAAAGCCGGCAATTTCTTCTGGCCTACCCGTTATATCCTTCTTTTTCTCCTAGAACACTTTCAAGACAAAGAACGCAAAAAATCTGTATCTCAGTCCAGAAATATTTATACATCGTTATGCTAACTAAGTAGACGCGTCAGACAGAGAAAAACATTCTGTAAAAGTTTCATCGAGTTTGGCACTAGCTAAAGTATGTGCACCGACAGGAGCCCGTTGAATCCAAAATTTTCGAACTCGCACCTGGCCGCAGTGGTATATAGTTGAAAATATTCAGTGAGTAATGAATTGATTTTTTTTCTTAATAGGAAATAAGTTAGAATATTGAATGGTATATACTTTGAAATATTTATTATTTTATAAATTAAGTAACATACCGATGAACGTGCTGATGATGGTTTTCCTCGTTCTAATTTTTCGAATTCTTCAAGTTTTCTTTTTAAAATTTCATTTTCTTTTTTGTATTCATCTTTTTCTTTATTTAATTTTCGTACAGCATTTTTCTTTTCTTCATCAACCGTAGCTACATAATCACTTTAACAAAAAAAATAATCAAAGAAATAAAATAAGACAGTTATTTTTATTTTACTTTTGTTGAATATTTAATCTTTCTACTTTTTGTCTTTCAAGTTCACCAAATAAAGCACGATTTTGTATTTCTAATTCTGTACCTTTTGTCCATCTTGGATCACTTTTCATATCACTATATTCAAAAGAAAAAATATATATATAACTATGTGTTTTTATCTATTTCGTTTCAAACATACTCAATTGTTGTTTCTTTTTGTTTAAGTTGTAATTCTAATTTAAATATACGTTGTTTTAAACGTAGAATAGCATTCTAAAATAAAAACAAGATTTTCACTTATTATTTATATTTATATAAAATTTACCGCATTGGAATTATTATTAGTCCGATCTGTTAATGATCCTGATAATGCTCCTCGTAAATCTCCATCCTGAAACATTATTTTTATACAATAATAAATTTAATATAAAGTGATACCTTGCTTGTATCATAAAAGACATCAATTTCTTTTCGTTTACGTGTATTATCTTCTTCTAAACGTCGAATTTTAGCACGAAGAACACTATTCTCATTTTTAACTGTTTTCATTTCCTTAATTAATAAAATAAAATATGAGCATATTAATATAAATACGAAAATTAAAATAAAACTTTTTTTAATAATTGTATTTCATCATAATAATCTTCTTGTGCTTTATATTTTGGATTTCCACTTGTTGATCGATTTGCTATTTTAAAAAAAAACAAAAATGTAATTCTAATTAATAATCTTAAAAAACGAAAATAAATTCTTCTTACTATTAGATTTTAATGCTAATTCACTTGCAGTTTTTGTACGTGGTATATCTCTTGCAGAAAACATTTCATTTGATGATAATGAATTCTGTTGAAATACTTCTCGTAAATAACCTGGTGTACTTCGATAAGCAAGATCGATATCATCAAATGAATTTATATGTGTAAAAGGTTTTCGTTTTCGATTCATATATGATGTAAAACCTTAATTTAAATAATTTTTTCTTTTCGTAAAATCTTTGTTTTTCTATTTATCTGAAATTCTTTTAAAATCTTACCTTGACCATGTGGTAATTGTTCAACATACATTTCACGTGCATTTTTTGTACGAATCCCTCCATTAATTTTTGACATGTTAACAAATCGAAAATATTTAGTCGAAGAAGTCACTAATAGATATGCATTATTATTGATACTATGGAAACAGCATCCATGAAGGATGATTGACAACAAGAAACGACCTCTATATCGTTTTTCTTATTTGAATTATGGCGACAAACTTCATAATCAAAAGAAAAATATCTGCGCTTTTCAATCCAACAGAAAAACACGTCTTTTTCAATGCCAATTCTGTTTCTTTTTTTTTTCTTCTTTACTCTTGTGTTTTGTTTGTTTTTGATCGAGCATTTGTACATTTTATAATTGACTGAGTTTATTTCGTTCGATCATTTTTTATATAGAAGAAACTATGCTGACTTTAAAAACTCGATTGTCATTTAATACAACTCGTATTATAGCTACAAGTGCTATGATAATAGGAAAAGAACAAAAACGATATTCGTCTTTAACAATGGAAAATCTCAATCCACTTGTTAAATTAGTTGAATATGCTGTTCGAGGTAGAAAAAACCAACTTGAGTTTTTTTTTTAATAATTTAAATAAAAGATTTTGAGTCTTTTTCTTTTTCCATATAAGGTCCGATTGTTATTCGTGCTGGAGAAATCGAAAATAAATTAAAGGTAATTATAAGTCTTTTATTGTTCTTAATTCCTACTAGTTTATTATTATATACAGCATAATTAACTTATTTTGACCTAGTTTTTGTTCAGTTTATTATATTTCTGCAAAATTTTAAAAGTTTGTTCTTTTTATGTGGTTGGATAGAATATTGATTGCTCGATTGAACTGTATAATTTTAATTTGATTGGTTTCGTATTTTAATGAACGTTTAAATAAATATCGACAATTCGGAGACAAAAAGCTTTCGTACGTTCATATCTCAATCAGATTAAATCCAATTTTTACAAAAATGATATTATGGTTGAAGAGATCCATCAAACTTAAAATTGTAGAAAATATTGAATGAAATCATTTTGAATTTAATCCCTCTCTCAAAAATCTAACTTCGATAGGATATATAAGATATTGATGAAATTTTGCATAGCTGTTTGATTTATGGAAGTATATTAATAAAAAAACCTTCATTCCTTCATACCTTACTGTTCAGGAGGTTTCCATGGACTTTTATGCGTACAAATTTTTTATCAATATATTTCAAACTACAGAGCTCAGGTTGATTTTATTTGAAAGAGAACTACTTACCACTTCGGATAGAGAAAACGATCTTTTTTTTTCTAATTTTTACTCGATTTCATTTTTTAGATCATCAAAACTTCAAAAATCTAGAATTTCTAGGCATGGTTTTCTAGAAAACTCAAGATTTATCTAGTATTAATAATCAATTAGAAAACTCATCTTCATCATCTGAAAGACTATGCATATATATATCGATTATAAAAAAAAAACACAGCTCTCTAGAATAAAGTATATTAAGAAAAAAATTCGTTCACAGTTTGATAATTACTGGAAAAGACTAATTTTGAGAAAAACGCAAAAGGATGTTTTTTTTCTTATATAGTCTTCCTGTTATTACTTAAAATGTCAGTGAAGCACAAATATATTACATGTCAGTCAAAGTAATTATCTAGGGTATGGATGTAGGCGTAGAGAACATACACATCCACATCCCGATGTCACTGTAGATGTCAAAAGTATGTCTCTAAGATACGCAAGATTTGATTACTTCTGAAAAAATATTTGTTTATTTTATAGATCTAATTTTATAAAAAAAGTTGATTAATTACTCTAGATATCATTACTTGTCCAAATAGTTTCAAAAGTCGTTCATAAAATCCTCGAAAACTATTTTTATGAATTCATACACTAGGCAACATGTTTATCGCAAAATTCAGTGTTTTTTTTTTTTGACAACAATCGAGTTTTCTGAAGAGATCCTTATTAAGGAGTACTAATGAGTAGAAAAATCAACGCTCAACACAACCATATATTAATGAAAAAGATTTAAATGTTTAGTCGACTATAATATACTCGAGAAAAAATTCTACAAAAATAATTTTTAGAAATTCATTAAACTTTTAATTAAGATGGGGAATGAATTTGATAAAAAAATATACAGTTCGATAGAGAAATCGATACTCTATCCAGATATATAAAGATAAAAACAAATTTCTGAAACTTTGCAGAAATACGGTAAACTGAACAAACCTGGTAAAAATAAGTGAATCATGCTGTACAATCATATTTTTCTACTAGAAAAAAAACGAATTTTTCAAGCAAAAATAGGATTTTCAATATTAAAATGTTTTTCATTCTATCTTCTAATGAATTTTTTTGTATTCAGAATCAGACATATATATGTACGCCATGGCCTTTTGCTCTAATATTGACTTTGAAAAGACCTTGACTGTAAAGATATCATATCTGATGAGAGAAAAAAACAAAAAATGTAGTAAATAATGATAATGCAATGTTATATATATACTTTTTCTTTTATTCCCATCTGAATATCAATGGTGTCGATAGCATGTGCAATAAGGTTTATTTTTTCTTCTTTCTGTCCTTCTCTAAACGAAATATAGAGTGCAAATATAACAAAGAAACTTAGGTTAAAAGAGATAAAATATAAGTAAATATAGATTGTTCTTTGTCGTTGATTTCTTTCTTTCTTTCATTTCGACAAGAGTTAGATATAGACTAACAGGTTCAGAATCCATTATCTTTTTTTGACCAAAATGGAAAACTCGTGTGAAAATAATAAAACACTCACGATGGCAAATATAAATCCTCGTGTTATTAAAGTTGAGTATGCTGTTCGAGGTCCTATTGTTATTCGTGCTGGTGAAATTGAAAAACAAATAAAAGAAGTATTGATATAATTTATATTAAAAAAAGAAATTTTATTTTTGCTTTAATTTTCTTTTTTCTTTTAAGGGTCAACATAATTTTCCATTCGATCGTGTTATTCGAGCTAATATTGGTGATTGTCATGCTAGTGGTAATCAAGTACCTGTTACATATATTCGTCAAGTTTGTATTTATTTCTTAGATTTTTTTTGTTAATGATTACAAAAAAAAAACAAATGAAAATTTCTTTTTTTTTTAAATAGTTTCTTGCTGGTTGTACGTATCCACCGTTGATAGATTCGTCAGATTTTCCATCAGATATTAAACAAAAAGTTCAACGTTTATTATCTGTATGTGGTGGAAAAAGTCTTGGATCATATACAGAAAGTCAAGGATTAATAACAGTACGAGAAGATATTGCAAAATATATACAAGAACGTGATGGTTACCCATCAAATCCAAGTGATATTTATCTTTGTAATGGAGCTTCAGATGGAATTAAAACAGTAATTAAACTTCTTATGAATAATGATCCAAAAAAACCATCAGGAATTGTAAGTTAATAAAAAATATTCTTTTAATAATATATAAAACAATAATTAATTACAATTGAAGATTGTCTTACAAAATCTTTTGTTTTTGTGACGAATCTTTATATTAAGATTGCTAAAATAATGATGTGCATCATTGCACTTATACATGTGACTCAGAACAAAAAAATAAATATTACATTCGGTTCGAAGGCATCCACAATTTCTTATTAATTGATAAAACAATTCTTCTTCTAGAGGTTTCATTTTTCAAATTAAAAATAGGAGAAAAATTCTTTTTTTAAACAAAAATAATTAATAGATACTGTAAACAAATGATCAGTTTCATAGAATTTCTCTATAAAAAAAAATCCAATAATTTTCAACATTGAATGATTTTGTAAGAGTCTTCAGCACACATATATATCTTCAACTAATCCAAAGCAAACATATTTCCAATCAATTTGATACTCAAGCATCTCTACCAAATGACTAAAACTTTTCTATGGAGATTTGATTGTCTGAAAAAAAAAAGGTTTTCATTGTAAATTAATAAATGTATAGTATTTTATTATTTATTACAAGAAATAAATTCATCATTTCGACATTTTCCTTTTAACATATCTTTTAGAGCAGTCGGAATTTCACCAATAGGACATTCGACAATAGTGAAAGTTCTATTGGAAAAATTCTGGAATCTCTCTTTTCTTTGTAGTTTTCTAGCAAGACAGTAACCATAAATCCTTCTACCGCATTCGAAGAATTAGAGAATCAGTATAGGTATATATATATTCTTTGATTGAAAAAGAAAATCTAAATTATTTTATGGAATAATTATTTAAAAAAGGAAAATCTATCTTAGATGATACCTGTTCCACAATATCCATTATATAGTGCTACTTTATCTGAATATGGTGCTCATCAAATTGAATATTATCTTGATGAAGATAATAATTGGGCATTGAATATAGATGAATTAGAACGAGCATTAAATCAATCTAAAGAACATTGCGTACCACGTGGTATTGTTATCATCAATCCTGGAAATCCTACAGGTAAAATAATATTTTCAAACCGTAACGAGATTGATTAATCGTTTTTGATTCAAGACTATGTGCATTATGTAAACTCTAATGAATTATAAATATTCTGAAAAGTGTTTGAGTTTTTAGTTGATTGCTGCAAGGACGCTATTGTATAAGAGAGAAATCTTAATGAACATAGTTTATTGTGAAATTTTTATGTACTTCTATGTATCTTAAAATAAAAACATCGGACTCTGTCGGTGTATATCAGTGATGTAAAAGCTACACTTTTATCAAAGTCATATCTCTTAGGATATGAACAACAAAGAGATTTGAAACTCTCACAATAAACTATTATCATTAAGAGACCTATCTCAGTGCAAAGTTTCAAGTTGAAAATAAGTTTTCCCAATATCCTAAAAAATGCAGTATCTTCATAACAGTCAGCTAAGAATGCGAGCTCTTTTTTAATATTCATAAAGTTTTATTTTTGACTATTTTAATATTTAATTTTTTTTGAATTAGGTCAAGTTCTATCTCGTGAAAATATTGAAAATATAGTTCGTTTTGGTAAGAAAACAAGGAAATAAATAATTTTTTTATTTAATAATTTTTTGTTTTGTTGTATAATTATTTAGCTGAAAAACATCGATTATTTATATTGGCTGATGAAGTCTATCAAGAAAATACTTATTTACCAGGTTCAAAATTTTTTTCATTTAAAAAAGTTTTAATGGATCTGGGTGCACCATATAATCATATGGAAATGGGTATTTCTATCCGTGTTTAAAAATTCTTTTTATTAATCATTCTTCTTTGATTTTATTTAGCTTCATTCCATTCAGCATCAAAAGGTTGGCATGGCGAGTAAGTTGAA